TTCCAGTCTTGTCCTTTGCCCAACTGTTTCCGGAGCCTACCTGGTATAGCTTACTTACGGCTACTATGTCAATCGTAGCTTCTCTGACGTTCTGTTTTAGCAGCTCTTGTGCAGTACGACAGTGATTTACGTTTATTTGCATACACTTCATGGCTGTCCATTGTTGTTAGCGCCGCGTGAATTTACCGGGCAATTTCTGCCGGCCATTGGGTGATCATGCGGCTTGCCTTGTTCCTTGCAAATCCCACAGCACGGGCTCTTATTGCAGTCTCTTGCGCGGTGCCCTTCTTCGCTGCATTTTAGACAGCACTTGCTTCTATCTGTCTTTCCTTTGCAATTTCTAGCAATGTGGCCTGCCTCGACGCATCTAAAGATCTGTGGATTTTTCTCTAATCCTGCTCACTACCCAGCCAACCTTTTACTTATAGCTCGTTCTTTGCTAAAATTCGTTTTTTATTATTTTTCACTTATTTCTTTTCTTTTCTTAATTGTGCAGATTTATTATTTGTTGCTGTTGCTTTCTTTTATTTAATACTCTCTTTAATTTGTTTCGCATTTCATCCTCTTTTCTTGTCCGTAAAACGTGTTGTTGTCGTAGAAAGTGTTTAGGTTGACGCTGTTGTTGTTGTTGCTGCTTAGCATTTTTTCGTAAATATTTTGAACGGTCTTCTTTCGAGAGCTTGGCACGCGCGTTTATGGATTTCTTGATTAACATTCCATTAATTTTATCCACATCCAATGTAATCTGGTCTGTGTTTTACACCTCATGTAAATACACTTACATACAATATTTTTATTTTTTTCACTAAGAGAAATAATAACGAAAGTCACTTTTTCTTTCATACTTTATTCAAAACTATTTGAAGAGAATTGTTAAACACATTATACTTTTTTAGATGACAGATAATTTTTTTAATAATTTTTTGTTATTTTCTAATATATTTTTTTCGGAGGGTCACAACTTCTCTCATGCTGTAGTCAACCAAAACTGAAGCTCGTATTTATGGCAGCTATTAAGTCATCCGCTGAGGTAACTTCATCCAGGTCCTTGAATTCGATCTTTGTCTGCGTGGTCATTAGTTTAACAATAGCCTCCTGGCCTAGCGCTTTTTGCACCAATTTCGAGTAAGCAGAGTTTTCATCCTTCGCACTTTGCTTAAACTCCAGCAGCATATCTCCTTTCAGTGTCTTACGTATTCTTGTCACATTTTTTCCGACTTTTTGCAGCTCCCCATCATTTTTAACTTTTTTCAGTATATCGCTGTATAACATAGTACCCGTTTGCTTGATTACAATTGCATCCGGCCTATTCACCAATTTGATTGGCTTGACCTTTCTATTTTTTGTTTGGACCACGGTCCAGTCTTCATTTTCGCATTTTGATTGCTTTGGCTCCTCCTTTTTGGTATTTATCCCATCACCGGCCCGCTTACTTTTCTTCGCAGGAGTAGTATCCGTGGATCCCTCCTCTCTGAGCCTTTTCGTGGCATTTACTCTGCCTCCTTTTTCGGTCTGGGTTGTGCCATCTCTGACCACTTTTTTTGGTATTTTATTTCCTAATTCTTTTGCGGCTTTTTTATGGAGCACAGCTAGCATGTCCACCAAATCTCTCATCGGCTGATGAATGGTACGCCTAGCCGGAGCAGAAGGAGTTGGGGCCATCATTTCGATGAGTTCTCCAATTTTCTTTCCTGGCTCGACAAAAGAGTTTTCACCTTCTCTTATCATCAAAGATTCCTCCTGAAGGATCGGTGGAGAGGACTGACTTCTCATTTGCGTATGTTGCCCGGCGATTTGCTCAGGTGAGCGTTGGATTCGAATACTCCTTTTGAACGGATCTGGTAACACTTCAGGACTATCCCCCGTGGCGCCTTGTGCGCTTTGAGGTGTCCCTTTATTTCCGGTTTTGGCCGGCATAATTTTCGTATTAGTGTTATATATGTTAGTTTACTTGTATATGTAGTTATGAATGTATGTATATGAGAATTCCTCTTACGTTTGTTTGTGTGGATGTATATATCTATGTATAAGTTCGTGTGCGTGTGTTCGTGTGTGTTTATTTTAATGTATTTATGTATATCTACTTGTGTATGTGTATGTTTGTGACGTCCTTGTACGCAAGTCCGTTTCTTGTATGTATGTTTCTGTATGTATGTTTTTATCGTTGGCGGTATTTTGTACAAATTTTTTACTTACTTTATTGTTAGTCTTTCACCTCAGAGGCCCTGGGTCGGTGTAGGGTTGACCAATACTGCTTGTTAAATTAATGTCGCCCCCAGCTGTACTACACTAAGCTGTTCCTTGAAAAACAAGGAGTAAGTCTGTGCTATTGCGTAATGTTTTAAAACATTTCGCAGATGCACAGGGTTGCTTTATAGCAGCAATAGATGGCAATGTCCTCCCGCGATTTGCTCACCTTCTTTATTTACCTGGGCGGCACTAAACGACCTCCAAATAAGCACGAAAGCGGGCAAACCCACAGAGAAGAAAAGGGAGAAAAAGAATAAAGAAAACGAAACCTGATCCCTCACTTTCTATTTTAAATGCCTTTATAACTAAATAAGACGCTTAAAAGCACTATCACTCTTTTAATTATCGTTTACTTATCTTTCCGATACAAGAATTCCACTCTAGGATAATTTTCTGATAACAATCGCCTATGATATAAACGAAGCACTTTCGAACACGTCCGCGCGCTACGAAATCACAACGATGTTTGTGTATGTGTGTATGTGTGTGTATGTGTGTATGTGTGTGTGTGCGGTTTCCATTAGAAGTGTTTAGTATCAGTTGCAAATCAAAGCCTGATCTTCTTCCGTATACAATTTGTGATTGTTTTAGCGCATCTATCTATTCTGGTTTTATGTTCTTTCCTGTAATTCCTCTGAAACACCTTGAGCTGTTTCCTTTCAGTGCGAATCTATATTTATTTTATAACGAAAGGTTTTGTATATGTCAACTTTTTCTACCGACTTTATTTTGCTCAAGACTGCATGTTTTGCTTGTTAGCGAACGACTACAACCACAACTAGTTGAAAGTAAGTCGTAACTTATTTGCTAAAGTGAAAAACTAAAGCTAATGGTTCGCATAGCCATTAATGCCGCAAGCAGATATATTCTTTCGTTTTCATATACTCGGTAGGCGTACTCAGTAACGTTATTACGGTCATTCCTGCGCACAATTTCTGTTAGCAATATATTGTTTATTATTTCTACTCATTTTGATTCCTATGGTTAAATATGGTATATGGTTATGATTTGATTGAATGGTTATGGGATGATTGTTGCATCCTTAACCCTATGCACTTCCACCCTTTTCAACAATCCCAAATAATATAATGTCGACATGGGCTTTGGTATAAAACATATGATGTCGACGCAAAAGTGCAAGGGGTTAAAAGTAATCCTTACACCATCAATCGTTCAATTCTTTCAAATTGACGGGTAATAATAGGAACCCTATTTTATTAACATCTCATCGTGTTTCTCTTTGGCTGGACGATCATTTATTGGCGGTGCAGGGCGAAATGGTAATGCTGACTTGGAACTTCTTGAATATGTTTAAAGAAAATTAACCATATTTTTAATTACGTAAATTGCTCTTGTTGCAGACAGGAAGTATTTAGTAAGGATATTATGGAGCAATGTGAGTATCATCTCAAGCCGCTATAAACTCTCCATTGCAGTCCTAAATTTCATTTAATTTGTGAAAAAAGATGGTTTTAGTTTTTTCTAAAAATTCTATTGCTTTTCTTAACAATTCAAATAAAAAGAAAAATGTTTTAAATTTTTACCTTTCCTTTATTGCAATAACCTAAATTCGTGGCTTTGTTCAGTTTGCCAATAATTTATTAATATTTTTTGTTTGTATCAGGCAGATTTTTTTTCATTCCACTATTTTTTATGCTCTCATGGATTTTTTTTTTTGATCGGTTTTCACTATCATTAAGGATTTATTTAAACCTATACATTTACGGTGACTTTTTTTTTTTTTTTTTTTTTTTTTACTTCTCCCAGGTAGTCCAAACTTTGATCTTCGAGAATGTTTAACGATCACTTGTATATTGGTATTGACAAACATTGTTATCCCATTTTCAATTTCAACTTAATTCGTATCATATCTGTGCCTATTATCGATTTTACGAAGGACTTTTCTCTCTTATATTTAGATTCCTATGAAACTATAACAGATTTGCATGTATTTATTTTACTACAATTCGTCTATCGATATGTAATTGAAAGGAAGAATGAAGAAGAGTACAAAGGATTAGTTGCAGCAGGTATTTTTATAAACTAACCAGCCACGTGTGTGTGTTTAAGATACACAACATTTGAACGTCGTTAATACTATAGGTGAAGAATAACAACTACAAATCACTCTTCTGCAATTTAGTCTGAAGTAGTTGATCGTATTAGGATGGTTATCGCATCGCTACCGGAAATGATCGCAGCTTTTATTCAAGAAGGCTCCGCCTGATGATTTTATTCAGCTCTAATTCTATATGGTTGTGTGGATGTGTATATGAAAATCGATCGAAAAATTTACGAGAGAATTCAGAGAGAGACAAGCAAAAAACGTTCATATCTATCTATTTATTCAGAGGGTTGCCAGCCAACTTACTTAAACTGCTCATTTTCTATTTATGCCATTTACATCTAACTTTTTGTGTTCAAATGTATGTCAGTTATTTTACGTATATTAAATATACTTGTATGAAGGCCCACAGAAGAAAAGAAGATCAATTGCTTGTCGAAGACGACCTCTTTTTCTCACCCCTACCATAACTGGGTCAACGCATAGTCCAGCGGATAGACTCGCGATTGCCAAGTCAGTGATCGCGGACTCGAATCCCAGTGCGTTAGACCATACCTTAATAAGTAAGTGACTATGTAACATAGTTAGTTACTTAAATTAGACTTATGTACACCTTTAATACTTTAATCCTTATAAGATTTCTGTGTAAAGGAGTTATTCTAGTGGTCGCGCAACAATCGTAGATGACGTGAGAGATTGATTGTTTCTGTTAAGATTATTGTTCCTATTGAAGTTGTTATTACAATTGTTACACTGGTTTCTGTTATCGTGGTTTCTTTTATTATAAGGATTTTTGTTGTTATTGTTGTTATAGTTGTGGCGATTGTGTGTATTGTTTCTGATTATTAGACTTTGCCTGGACCGTACTTTCGTATTCTAGCGCACTATTAATTGCATCTGGACAAGTTTTCGGCGGCGTCACAAATACGGTGGGCTTGATATAATTATCAAGTCCATTCTTAAAAATGATCGAGGCGTAACTGTCCGTTAAGTTGTGAATTAGTTTTGATCAATCCAAACACATGAATCTGGCGTGGCACTATTTTTCACCTCTTTTGACAATTTTACCTTTCGAGCACCAATTAATATAACTAAAGTAGGTTATCGCTAGAATGATAATCGTAAGCATATAATATAAAAATGGTTTATTACTAGAATTACAGCTTAAGCAAATAATATTATGAAAATAGGTTAGGTGTTAAAATGTAAACTTAGCAATAACTTGTAAATCACGGTAGAGTGCGACAGATCGATAATACTACATAATAACAAAAACATTTTCCCGTGGGAAACACTAAATTTACGCTTAGACTAACAAATTGAATGCATGCACTGCTTTTACATAAGCGTATGCAATTTTAGGAAGGTTTGACAAACCGATCAAATTACTCACGTTGCAATTGCTGACCAATGCCATGTGATCGTTTGTTTAATTTTGCATTTACTCGTGTCGTTTTCCTCTTTATTTTTAAATGAAATTAAAGATTAGCTGCAGCAACATATTTCTCAAATATGATGCATACACTTATGTATGTCGAACTGGTGTTCTTCACACTTTTATATATACAATGATGGATGTTCTTAACATCTTC